CCCCCCCCCCCGGTGTCCCGTCCCCTCAGGCCGTCCCCCCGTCCTTCCCCAACCCGCGGCGGCGGCTGCGGCTGCGGGACCTGGCCGAGCGCGTGGCGGGCGCGGCGCAGAACGAGCAGGAGCTCAACCAGCTGCTCAACGAGGCCCTGCTGGAGAGGGAGAACATCCAGGCGTGAGTGGGGACGGGGGGGAAAAACCAACGGGATGAGGGGGGATGAGGGGGTTTGGGGAATGGATTGGGGTGGTGGGTAGGTAGGGAAAAAAGGGAAGGGATGGGTGGAGGGGGACAAATCCTGCGTGGCAGTGCCTGGAAGCACGTGGGGAATTCCGTGGGTCCCGGTGATGCGCCGTGGATCCCGGTGATGCGCCGTGGATCCCGGTGCTTCTCTGTGGATCCCGGTGATGCTCCGTGGATCCCGGTGATGCTCTGTGGATCCTGGTGATGCTCCATGGATCCTGGTGATGCTCCATGGATCCTGGTGCTTCTCTGTGGATCCTGGTACTTCTCTGTGGATCCTGGTGATGCTCCATGGATCCCGGTGATGCTCTTTGGATCCTGGTGCTTTTCTGTGGATCCCAGTGCTTCTCTGTGGAGCCCGGTGATGCTCCATGGATCCCGGTGCTTCTCTGTGGATCCCAGAGCTTCTCCATGGATCCCCGTGCTTCTCCATGGGTCCCAGTGCTTCTCCATGGATCCCGGTGCTTCTCCGTGGATCCTGGTGATGCTCTATGGATCCTGGTGATGTTCCGTGGCTCCTGGTGATGCTCTGTGGACCCCAGTGCTTCTCCATGGATCCCTGTGCTTCTCTGGATCCTGGTGCATCTCTGTGGATCCCAGTGATGCTCCATGGATCCCAGTGCTTCTCCATGGATCCTGGTGACACTTCGTGGATCCTGGTCCTTCTCCATGGATCACGGTGATGTTCTATGGGTCCTGGTGATGCTCCATGGATCCCGGTGCTTCTCCGTGGATCCCAGTGATGCTCTGTGGATCCCGGTGATGCTCCATGGATCCCGGTGATTCTCCATGGATCCCAGTGATGCTCTGTGGATCCCAGTGCTTCTCCATGGCTCCTGGTGATGCTCTGTGGATCCTGGTGATATTCTATGGATCCTGGTGATGCTCTGTGGATCCTGGTGATATTCTATGGATCCTGGTGATGCTCCATGGATCCTGGTGCTTCTCTGTGGATCCCAGTCGTGCTCCATGGATCCTAGTGTTTCTCTGTGAATCCTGGTGCTTTTCCTTGGATCTCGGTGCTTCTCTGTGGATCCTGGTGCCGCTCTGTGGATTCTGGTGCTGCTCTGTGGATCCCGGTGCTTATCCGTGGATCCTGGTGCTTTTCCATGGATCCCGGTGATGCTCCATGGATCCCAGTGCTTCTCTGTGGATCCTAGTGATGCTCTGTGGATTCCGGTGCTTCTTTGTGAATCCTGGAGCTTCTCCATGGATCTCGGTACTTCACCATGGATCCCGGTGATGCTCTGTGGATCCTGGTGCTTCTCCATGGATCCTGGTGATGCTCTGTGGATCCTGGTGCATCTTTGTGGATCCTGGAGCTTCTCCATGGATCCCGGTGCTTCTCCGTGGATCCCAGTGATGCTCTGTGGATCCTGGTGCTTCTCCATGGATCCCGGTGCTTCTCCATGGATCCCGGTGATGCTCTATGGATCCTGGTGCTTCTCCGTCGATCCCGGTGCTTCTCCATGGATCCCGGTGATGCTCTATGGATCCTG